CCCATAACCCCCCTCCCCCCAGCATCACCCCCTCCCCCCAGCATCACCCCCCATAACCCCCCCCCCCCCCCCAGCATCACCCCCATAACCCCCCTCCCCCAGCATCACCCCTAACCCCCCTCCCCCCAGCATCACACCATAACCCCCTCCCCCCAGCATCAACCCCCTCCCCCCCAGCCTCACCCATAACCCCCCTCCCCCCAGCATCAACCCCATAACCCCCTCCCCCAGCATCACCCCATAACCCCCTCCCCCCAGCATCACCCCATAATCCCCCTCCCCCCAGCATCACCCCATTATCGCCCTCCCCCCCACAGCATCACCCCATAACCCCCTCCCCCCACATCACCCCATTAATCCCCCCTCCCCCAGCATCACCCCCTCCCCCCAGCAATCGCCCGTCCCCCCCAGCATCACCCCATAACCCCACTCCCCCCCAGCATCACTCCATAACTCCCCTCCCCCCAGCATCACCCACATAATTCCCCCTCCCCCCAGCATCACACCATAATCCCCCTCCCAGCATCACCCATAATCCCCTCCCCCAGCATCACCCCATTATCTCCCTCCCACCAGCATCACCCCATAACCCCCTCCCCCCCGCATCCCCCATAATCCACCTCCCCCACACATCACCCATATCCCCCCTCCCCCCCAGCATCACCCATAACCCCCCCCCCCCAGCATCACCCCATACCCCCCTCCCCCCACATCAACACCATAACCCCCCTCCCCCAGCATCACCACCATAATCCCCCTCCCCCCGCATCACCCCTAATCCCCCTCGCCCCAGCAGATCACCCATAATCCCCCTCCCCCAGCATCACCCCATAATCCCCCCTCCCCCCAGCATCACCCCATAATCCCCCTCCCCCCAGCATCACCCCATAATCCCCCTCCCCCCCCAGCATCACCCCATAATCCCCCTCCCCCCCGCATCACCCCATAATCCCCCTCCCCCCAGCATCACCCCATAACCCCCTCCCCCCCAGCATCACCCCATAACCCCCTCCCCCCCAGCATCACCCCATAACCCCCCTCCCCCCAGCATCACCCCATAATCCCCCTCCCCCAGCATCACCCCATAACCCCCCTCCCCCCCAGCATCACCCCATAATCCCCCTCCCCCCTCAGCATCACCCCATAACCCCCCTCCCCCCAGCATCACCCCATAACCCCCCTCCCCCCCAGCATCACCCCATAATCCCCCTCCCCCAGCATCACCCCATAACCCCCCCCCCAGCATCACCCCATAACCCCCCTCCCCCCAGCATCACCCCATAATCCCCCTCCCCCCAGCATCACCCCATAATCCCCCCAGCATAACCCCATTATCCCTCTCCCCCCAGCATCACCCCATAACCCCCCTCCCCCCAGCATCACCCCATAACCCCCCTCCCCCTCCCTCCCCAACCTCCTCCCCCCCACCCAATCCCTCCCCCCCTACCCAACCCCCTCCTCCCACGTTCACCCCCCCCCCTCCCTCCTTCCTCTCCATCCCCCTACCCATCCCCCTCCTCCCGCGTCGCTCACCCCCCCGCCCCCCGCCCCCCACGCCTCATCAGCTGACGAATGTAAACAAACGCTCGAGGCCCGACTATGACGAAGGACGCAAGATGAACGTGGCTTTCAACAGTCGAGATCTCCTCCATCTCTCCGTGGCTCCTGGAACGAAGTCTTGGAGTATTTTTGTCGGTGAATATCGTTGAATATCGTCCGTGTTTGTATAAATGTTTGGAATTGGGTTTATAGTGTTTTTTTTATTTTTTTTTGAGGGTGAGTGACGGTGGTGTTGTGGGTGGAAGGGATGGTTGGGTGTGTTTGTGTGTCTTTTTTTTTGTGTGTGAATGTGTGGATTTTTTTTTTTTTTGTCATAGTTGAGATTCTGTTTCTGGGGATGAGGTTTTTGGTTAAGGGATTCTTTTTGTGATTTTGATTTCGTTATGGTGAATGTTTTATTTTATTCCTCATGATTCAACTTGTCGGGATAGAATGAGTGGGTCATCCTTATTTGCATGTCATTTGCATAGTGGTAAAAATAAACAGACAATGACGACATGTATGATAACTAATTTTTACTTGTGCATTATCATGGGATGCCTTTGTGAATTCAGAAGAAAGGAATGGCAAACTTATAAGAGCATAGATTACAGTAAATACTTGGGAGTGGTAATGGGGAGCTTTTATGACAGATGATTTTCTCAATGTCATTTTCCTGACATTGACTCAGAGTCAAATTTAATGAAGCAATGTCATGGCCTCTGCTTTTTTTTGTGGGAACAGCAGGCTTAAGGAGATCAATTACTGTAATTGTTTTATGCATGTATTTGTGGCAAATCATGGTAATACTATTACTGATAATTTCCTCTCTTCCTCTGCCATTCATATATTTAGAATTTTTACCATGACACCCCCCTATATGCCACAAAATTGGAAATGAGTTATACGTGAAATATGTGTACCCCCCAGTGCTGTCCCTCATCCTCTAGCCTGGACAACAAAAAATCCTCCATGACTAATCACAAGGAGGAGCTGACACTAACCTCCGAAATTAAGGTTTTTTTTTGTACGTTGTATCTCATTTGTGTAGCACACCTCAAGCAGATCCTCATGGCCACTACACCTCTTTTATGTGAATAGAACACCCCTCACATCGAGCCCTCTCGACGTCTTCTAGAAGTGTGGCTGGCAGATCTATGTGGTTGAGGACACTGTAGCACAGGTTTTCCACAGGAGGCGGAACACATACTTGTACAGTTTTGTCCACCCAGTACATGAATTACATGTGACGTGTAATGCTAATTAGTTTCATATATTGGTATTCTCTGCACTGTATATGTTTCTTTTCATTTCTATTTCTATCACTGTCTCCCCTGAAGTTGACTGTGCTTGGTCCTTGGGTATTATGCTTGCGTTCTTAGCAGAGTGTGTTGTTTTTGACAATCCAAGAGGCTTTACCCTTTGTACTGCACAATATTTATGAATCTTCATCTTGTTGGTTTGTGTGTAGAGGGCACTGCCTACTGCATTATTTTAGGGTAATTTTTTCTTCCCTTTAATAAGTCCTGCACTCCATCCTGAGGGAGTTAGGTTGTATATAGAATTGTGACTCTCTCTATATATATGTTGTGCAGCTTATTTTCCTTCATATTTTAATGCACAATTTCCCTGGTAACCTTCATTCTCTCCCCATGTTCTTTATGCTCTAATGGGCCCATAATTGTGAGGTATGGGGGATGTTTCCGTGGCATGATTCCTACATATAAGAGTAGTAGAGGGTGAGAAAAAGCCATGGGTACCAATAGTGTTGTTATTCATTACAGTAACAACCACAATTGAAGTAACTACCACAATCACTATTTGAATCAGCTAATCCTAGCTAAAAATATACCTTTTTCCTGTTTTCTTTTATTATTTCGTAAAATGATTTCTTGCTGATAATGTTACACTCTCTTGTCAGAAGACGACCAAAAATGGTATAAAATGAAGCTTACACTCTCTAATGGTAATAGGCTTTTGATCCATATATGCTTTATTAATGGAAGAACAGTTTTATATTAATGTCTGATGCTTCCTATCTTGATGTCTTCAATTATTTAATTAATATGCCAAGCTCTAAAGTAGATCTTTAAAAGCTTGCAAGCCTCTGGTTGCTTGCTTACTATTTTTCCTTTATTTTTTATCTTATCATGTTCAAGACATTTATTTCTTTAAAACAGAGAAGACCAATAGTTTTTTTTTCATCAAGGTGTTTTATTTTCCCCGAATTTTACTAGTATCATCTACCCTCTCCCACCCTGGTGCCCAATGCATTCATACCAAATGTGTCTATGGCATGATGCTCTATTAGACTACTGTACTTTGATGATTATTTATGATTATGAAAGAAAAGTGTATTAGCTATGATATCACAGTCGGGTAAAATAAATAGTGTTTGAAATGAAACACAGCTATAGTAAGAAAACAATAAATTGCAATATTTCAAATCCAATTGGACGCATCAAACAGCAGGAAAGAATGAAAAGTATCATAAGAGGGCAAGATTGAAACATTGCTACTTATTGCTTTTTCTTATTGAGGTTAAATGCCATTTGGTCTTGGTTCAAAATGTCCAGTCTTTGTAATACCTAGCATTCTCTCCCTGCATTTTAACCCAAAACCTCCAAGCTGGTTAGAACTTCAAAAGGCCTAACTCCAGGGCACTGATAAACATGATAGCACATGTAGGCAGCTGGTGCGCAAGTTTTCATGCCACATGTTTGCTGTTAAAGTCCTTGTTTTTTAAATTTAATTTAGTCATGTGAGATAATGTGAGGCCTTAGTGCTGTTTTTTGGCTCAAGTTCTCTCTAAAACATCCACCTGCTGCAATGTAAAGTCCGTACCATAGATAGGAAAGTGATTGGACCGAGATAATGAAGGCACTACACATGTGAGACAGCCATTCTCAATGTTCATGGCATACATACAACCTAAGGGCAATGACTTAGAATATACCTAAATCAAATATTCCAGAAGACAAAACTTATATAGACTTTTCAAAGCCAAACAGCTGAGATTTTCTTTATAATATGTATAGTGTATATTCCTATTTACCAAATTTTTGTAAGGCCAAGAAAGGAAAAATCTTCATAGATACACCAAAGAGAAAAGGAGAAGCTCACTAAGTGGCAGATTGTAATTTTTACGATTTTTCATTTCCAGGTGTGATGTCCGTTGGAATTGGTGCGTCATACTATAGCCCAGGTAATTGTACTTTTCATTTTGATGAATGTTTTTTCTTGCCCAGGTAATTGTACTTTTCATTTTGATGAATGTTTTTTCTTGTGTTTAGCAAGTTGATATATTATAGATCTAAAAAGGCTTTGTGACTTACCTTTCTGTAATTCCCATTACATTAACTGTGAGTGTTTAATCATAGAACTAATTTTTATGACAGCAAAGGATAGGTATCACATGTCAGTGATATTGTGTTAGACCTCACATATAAATTCACCAATATGTCATATACCAACTTAACTTTCTTTTTTTCTTCCCCAGATGATCATATTCTTATGAAAATTGCCTATCTCACTGGGTGTCTCATTCTTGGCCTCACATTCTTGGATGATTGGGAGGTAAAGTAATAGAGAGAGAGAGAGAGAGAGAGAGAGAGAGAGAGAGAGAGAGAGAGAGAGAGAGAGAGAGAGAGAGAGAGAGAGAGAGAGAGAGAGAGAGAGAGAGAGACAGACAGACAGACAGACAGACAGACAGAGACTGACAGACAGACATACAGACAGAGAGAGACAGAGAGAGACAGAGAGATTTAACATTTTTACAATTGGATGTTTGTTGCCTTTATTTTATTTTGGATGTTGTGTGTGTGTATATAGCAGGTGATAGAAATTACGGGGTAAAAAGTTAAATTTGAAGTTTTGAAGCTTTGTGTTATGTAGTAGCTGAAAATAATTTTAATGAAGGTGTCTGTAAAAGAAGATCTGTATGAAGGAATTGTAAGGGTTATCCAATGATTGTAGAATTATAGTCATAGAGAGAAGTATATAAAATTCACATGGAAGTAACTAATGTCTGATATATGTTTCTTTATAAATACAGATATAACACTAAACTTGGTATAACTGCACAATATACATTTTTATTGACACCAATTTATCAGTAAGACACTTTTAAGAGACCATTAAATATAGAGTTCAGTCATGTAATTCTGAAATTTCCAACAGGATTGTGTATTTGATATCAAGAAGGGTCAAGTGACCATAACGAGACGCAACTGGTTTGAGTGGTTAACGAGCCGCTGTGCTGATCACAACACGCTCGTCCTCGATACAGGCTCGGTCATTGCAGTCACAGTTGTGCAAGGGAAAGGCGGGTAAGTGTAAATGTTGTCGGAACCTAGAAGGCTTGCTTAGTTGATGAATTTTCAAATGTGTGATAGTTCCATTTTGGTATGTAGGGCTGTGTATGCAATATTCTATATTCATATTTTTCTCTTGGACAGACACAAAGATGGCTATCAAGTTGCAATGGTCTTAAGAGCTGGAGGAACAATGCCACTTTCAGAAACGAGTGCAGGGGTGAAAAGGTAAGCGAAATGAATAAAAAAATGAAACTTCTTACTTTATTTACTTACTTCTTACTACTATTTTAGTTGATTTATTTATTATTCATCTATTTGATTTTTTAAAATTTGTATTTGAATATTCTCATATAATAGTACCAAAGTAGAATAGCACTATAGGGTATTGCTTTTATTTTCTTAAGAGGGACAATCTAAAGAGGTTAAATAGGTAGGACTAGTAATTGAATTGTTACTAAGTACTTGTCAAGTCATATCTGTGTAAGTATGAGTAATTAATGATATGAAATTACAGTGATATGGCTTTTATGTGATATGTTCTCTCAGGATAAAGGTTGAAAGAGAATATTGATGTTTCCGTGTACTTACCTAATCACACAGCGAACAAGAGCACCTCGCGAAGAAAGTGCGAGACTTTCTGTCTCTGGACCGTGTTGAGTCCGTCAGAAACGTGTGGAACGACTGGTCGGAGAGTGATGAAGAGGACTTCCTAATGGTTCCTCAGCCACCATTTGAGGTATTACTGTGATATGTATTAGTGAATTTTTACCGGGTCTTGTGTTTCATACAGATTCTTGTTTTGCTTTTAGAGGTTTCCTTTAACTGTGATAATTGTGGTTCATTTGATTACTAGTGAATGGAATAGGATATTAATAGTTGGGTTTTGGTTATGTATTGCCTGAATATTTATTTTAGTGTATATATTTACCAGTATATTTATATTTTTGTATATATTTGCTTACTGATTAATCTGTTTATTTTCTTTGCATAATTGTTGGAATAATATATTTACATTTTCTATTACCCCTTTGAAATGTACAATTTTTCCCACAGGTTGAATGCTTAAAGGGTAGTGGAAATATAAATTTTGAGGACATAAAATTAGAAAATGAACGTGTTGTGCAGCAACGGGACAGTGACGAAATGGACACTTCCAGCAGTGACGAGGAGCTCTATGATGACCTCTGAGCTCTTTCAATAGAGGAGGGAGGCGTGATAGTGAAATACACTATCAGTGACATGCTTCCCTCTGTGCTGTCCTTCTCACTTCTTTAGGTGGCGGACAGCCTGTTGAAGTATACTCATAATGAGTGATATTCTTTTTATTTGTATGTATACATAATGTAACTGCTAATACTGACTGACACTGTACCACTGTGCCATGATCCTCAGTATCTTTGTCTGCACCTTCTTTACCTTGAGTGTAAAATGTTTTTTTTATCAAGACTCAGGTTATTTGTGTCAGTTAGCAAAAAATGAAAGTTCTGTATTGGATTTTTTTTGGACTGATTGTAATGATATACCAAAAATAATAAGGATGATCGTGTCCATATTATCTGCTGGTTAGAGTAGTAGATGAAACAGTTCCTAAGTTCTAAAAAAAAAATGGTGCTTTTATATTCTCTTTTAGAAGTTTCCCCTCTTGTTGCCATTAGAGAAGGAAGACAAGCACATGTCTTCAGATTCTGAAATGACTTCAGTTGACAAGGATATATATCATTTCTGTTTGCCTATTGGTTTCTCAAAAGAGTGAGAATGTGTTGGAAAATCATGTGTGTTAGAGAATCGTATATATTCTGTTTGGATCGTAATGTATATCCTAAAATGTATGCATGGATGATTTTTTCTTGCCCACAGTTACTTAAAGATTTCACTCATGAATTGTGAGGAACTTAAATGTGTGGGAATGTGGGAGCATGCATGTTTACCTGCCTGTGTGCATATGTGCTTGCATGTATGTATGTGCACTTATATTGAAATAATGAAACTGCCAGCACACTGATCTGTCAATATTTGTCATACTGTAGGTCTCATTTAGTGACTAAACTTTATGTTCAGACGAAAGTGAACTCTGAAGTTGTGAAAGGAATGATAAACTAATGCATTTTTATGCATTTTTGGTGTACCTTTTTCATGTGAAGTACATTTAGTTTCTTTCATATTTTTATTTTTTTACTGAATTCTTTGTTGTCGTGCAATATGCTTGACTCGTATTGAACTCCTCATGTGGAATTGTATTGCAATTTTTGGTTTAAGCAGGTTATTTTTTTTATTCATTCATTACTATTTTATTTTAATTTTAATCATTATTATTTTTCAGTCATTATGGTTTGTAACAATTTTATTATATTAGCATAATCTTCTCTAAATTGGGGTCTGTTCATCACCTGATGTGGTTTTTCCTCTATGCAAGCACAGAAAATCTGAGACGTGATTTTACTACTCAATTGAAATCTTCCCAAATTGTTTATGGCGAGTGTGATAACTTTTGAATTTGGGCTAGAGATTAGCCAGCTTCTTCATCTTTGGGACAGCAGAATATTTTTGAAGGTTGATAGGCAAGATATCAAAAATTACCGTTAAGAATGCTAATAATGCCAGTTTTTTGGTAAATAATTTTTACTGAAACTTGTTGAATCGATTCTTTTTTTTTATTAATATGATTTGAATGGGAAGATTATTTTTTTTCCAAAGTCTCGCAAGGTAATAAACAGAGACGAAAAACAGAAAATGTAGTGATAATAAATACATAGTTAAATGGTGCCTTTCTAATATTTTTATTTTTTTCATGGAAATGAGAAAATATTCATACAGGATAGAAAATCAAATATGTATGTGTTAACTGCCTCAGGACTGGCTTATTGTCGAATGATTTTTTATTTTATTTTTTATTATTTTTTTGTAATATCGCTGTTGAGAAGTTAATTATAGACATGGATATATATATATGTATTTGTTGTAGAACACATATAAGGGAAGCTGGGCAGATAATGTTAAGTGGTTCTTGGATATTTGGTTTTCCCAATTTTGATTGTGTAATATTATTATCATCATTATTTTTTTCTTAAGTGGTGACTTTTATATGTCTTTGCTTGGAACTAATATAATCCCTAGGGTTTTAATTTATGATTGTAAAGCAATAATGAAATGATTTGTCTTCTGGTTTATCTAACTGAATTTAGAAATATTTGTAGTATACGTTATAGTAGCTGAATACTATAAGATATTTTGATAACAGTGTTAGGCATTAAGTATTTCTACATTTGCATTATGCGGAGACTGGTGAGAGGAAATGTATTTTCTCTATAATTAAAGAAAAAAACAAACAAACAAAAAAATTGTATTTAAGCTCGAAATTATTTTCTCATCTATTAAGTAATGTTTAAGGCTAGGTGTTGTATGCTAGTATAAGAATTTAGATAGATAACCTTGTAAGATAAATCAAATGATAGTTATAGCTGGTGATAATGCTTTAAGATTGAAAAAAACTTTTTTTTTCAATTAACATCTTAACTTAATTCAGCTATGTGCATGATTTATTTGCATAACATGATTATTTTTTAGTCTACTAGATGAGGCAGAAGAGAACTTAATTATGTAATATCATTGCCACACAAGTGTTCATTTTTTATGCTTTTTTGTTTTTCTTACTTTTTTTCTCTTTCATTTTTTCCTTTTCTTTTTCTTTCTCCCCCCCCCCCCCTCCTAGGATGCCATGTAGAAAGGATGATAACAGGGCATAGGATTAACCACCTAATATACACAAAGGATATTTTCATCACTTTAAAAATCTCATATCTATTTATCCCACCGCAGTGTGGTTACTGAACCGAGTGAAGCTTCTGGAAAATACGTATCCGGCCTGTGTTGTGTTTCGGTTTGTGTTTCATAGTGCATTTTTGTGTGTGACTTCATTTTTGATCTGACTGTGTGAAATTGTCTCATAGTTGTGCTTTTAGTTGCACTAGCAGTTTATATTTCTTTTATCTTTCTTTCTTTCTTTTTTTTTTTACGTGACGAAAGAAAGGTTTCAGGTGAAAAATACGGTAATGTAAAAGGGAGCATTTTTGCCGCGGGAAGTCTGCGAATTTGATGTTTGTGCGAAGAAAGTCATGGCAGTAAATAAGGTGTTGAGATGAGAAACATAAGAGCGAGGTATTCTCCAATATTCCACCTTTCAGCCTTCATCAGAGAATACATTACGTGCATTTAGCTCTTGGGACATTTTGAAAATAATTTGAAGAAAATCATCAAAGTCATCTCTTTATTAATGGCAGTATTGTAATTGTTTCTTCCCATCTTGAATCTTCCTATGCCATGTTCATTCCCATTCGTAACTTTGTCATCAAGAGCTGTCGGTTTTGATTAACTTGATTATCTTAATTCCTTGATTTTGTGGTCTTTGCTTTTGGCTTTCATATCTTTTCTGATTTTAGGCTTAGGGAAAGGGAATAGGTTTTGTGCATTAAAGGAGTGATGCATATTTTTCCTTCATATTATCCCAATATGGAAGTAATCATAGATGGCTGTGATCGAATATAATTAATAATGTTTACAGTATTTCAGCAAGTGAATGTGTATCTGTTCACATTTTTTCCTTTCATGGTAGTTTCCTGTTCAACAGAAGATATACAGTATATAATGATTAAATTTAAAATAAAAGAACAGAGACCGTGGTGCATAGTGGTGGTATTGTATGGATGCTGATAATGCATGAAATCTAAAATTATTTCTTTGTGTCTGATTACATTTTACCATAAAATACCTGTCCTTTTGTCTGAGGATGAATTTGTATTCATTGTTTATTTTTTTTATACCTTTACATTTAGTTCTGTAAAAAAATACCCTCGTTTTCAAAATTTAAAGATAGATAAGGCAAGAAATTGTGATCTAAAATTTCCCTCGATACATTTTCAGTAACTATATGTAAGATATACCACTTCTGCACACCAGTTTCTCACCAGGTTGTCCCAGTCACTATTTACAGTGATTTTGTAATATCTTTGAAATTATAGTACTACTATAAAATGGATGACTCTTTTGTGTAAAATAATGGTTTCTAGAGGCAGCCACTATTTTTTTAAGCAATAGGGAGTTAATGGCAACAAAAATAATGATAAAATCATGTGTACGTATACTGTAGGGAACATTTTAATATTTCGAAAAGGTGTTATTTACTACTAAGATAAGTAAGTGTAATTGTATTAAAATTTCTAAATACTGTATTTGCAGAATACAGACTCCAAATCATTTAATAATGATCATTAGTTTAGCATGAAATACTATAGAAAAGAAGCTTTACTTTGTACGTAAGTGTAGTATGGTGCTGATGTTTTTTATGTAAGCATTGCCTCTTAATAAAAAAATAAAAGAATAAAAAAAAAAAATTGAATTATACTTCACCTAAATTTAAAAAATGAAATTTGTATTCAGTCTGAAAGTTAATGTCAAATATGTGTATATTTGTTCTTACATTTCAAATATTTGTATATTTGTTCTTACATTTCAAATATTTGTATATTTGTTCTTACATTTCAAATATTTGTACCTTTATTGTCCCTATTTGACCTTTAGGAGAACTTCTTAAGAAACCTTTATTGGCATAAAAGTATTGAAATCTATTTGACTGCCTGAATAGTTTGCATAATCAAAAAGCATATTCAATGGAAGTGAGATCAGCTTATCATTTTATTATAGAAATATCTTGGCACTTTAAGTTACTTCTGAATTAACCTCAGTGTGACATGTATGTTACATATTGAGGTGACTCTAACGTATGACAGATGCTCTATGATTATCTAGTTTCATGAAATAAAAGTAATTATTTTTTAGAGGTTTCATGTATTGCATGCCATGACAAAGGACAATTCACTACAAAGTTCTTGTTATGTTTTATTTCATATGATCTATTTTAATGTATTAATGGTATTGAGTTACCTATGGATTTTCGTTTTCTTTTTCATATTTAGATGCTTTCTTAAGATCTGTTTAACCACTACAGTTTCCCTTGAACAGAATATAACTTCAAAGGCCAGAAATTACAATCTAACTCGTACCTCAATTTAGTGAGAAAAAGAGGTTTTGCATTTCTAATGTAGTTTACCAGTAAGAATAAGTTTATGAATATCCTGTTACTCCATACCAACTTATATACTATTGTATTTTCATTGAAATACAGTAAACATTTAATATTGATAATGTATACTTTTAAATGCAAATATTATGCACATTCATTTAATCTTTTTAAAACTACTCAAACTAATTTATGAGTAATGAAGATGAGATAAGGCTCATTTTATTTAGTAATGAAAGTAAGCAGGATGTGCACTTTCTTCTCTTGTTCCATATTTTCCATGAAACTGAGAAATATGACAGAAAAAATAGCATCTTTTAATGTTTGGAAAAATGTAGAGTAGTGGCATGATGCGAGATTAACACTTGGGGTAAAAAAAAAAGAAAAGAAAAGAAAAGAAAAAAAAAGCAAGCAAGCAAGCCACAATGCTCTAATCTGTCATTCTAAATCAAAAGGAATTAGTTCCATATTCACATGTCAGTAATTGCAATATGTAGTTTTCTTTGTTTGATTACATTTTTGCAAGATACGTAAAACTTTCATGTGTTTCGAGAAGTAAATATAATGAATGAAATTTAGTCATTTAAATAAAAGGCTGCTTGCTACTGTAGAAAAAATAGATTCAAGTAATTTACACATTTTATTAACTAACTATTTACACTTGAGATTTGTTTCTGCTTTCTGATGAAGGTAGTTATTTTTTCATCTTTTATTTTTTCTATAGAAAAATTATATATACATACACAATCAGCACAGGTTAAAATCATTTATGCCTCTACAGCAGAACAAGAATCAAAGGCTTTGGCATTACACATTTTCAGAATAGTCTTTAAGGATTTACCGGGACCACATTCAAACGTCATCGGAAAAGCGGTCCCTTTGTTCCTCTCGTACAAAATGTGCATTGTCTGTTCCCATTTAACAGGTTTCCAGATCTGTTTTGGAAGCTGCTTTCTGACCTGTTCCGCGTTCTTGTAATACTTGCCATCGATGTTGGAGTGGACTGGAATAAGTGGATTTTCAACGGTTATTGTGTTCAAAACCTGCAGAGAGAAGAGGGAAATTTAATGTCTTATTCACAAAAGAATATTCCTATCATATGTACACAGACACAGACACAGACACAGACACACACACACAAACACATGCACACGTGCACTTCTATGTTGGGATATTAAATATCTTTCCCTTTTGTACTGTCATTAGTAGAAGCCAAGATAATTGACTCATATAATAAGCCTTGTTCTTCACCTTTTTGAGTGCTGCGACGGCAGGCAACATGAGATCTGTGTGGAAGGCCCCTGAAACTTGCAATCGCTTCAGACGTTTCAGGCGGAAGTCAGCTTTATTCTCCTCAATGAAAGACAGCGCCTGGAGGCAAGGCAAAAAAAACAGATGAATAAAGAAGAAAAGAAATCCATATATCGCTATTACTTTCTAATATTGAAAACCTACAAAATCTAATTTCAAATGAAGAAGAAGAAAAAAAAAGGTAAACTAAAATACTACAAAAATATCATTACAAAAACAAAAATAAATAAAAGAAAATTCAATAAAAATAAGTACAATAGATACAGACCACTGAAACAAAACAAGGAAAAGCAAGGAAAAAGAAAGCAAAAGTAAGAGGATTAAAAGAATGCAAGAACAGTGAACATCACACTAAACTTGTATTCTCAAAGAAGAAAGAGAAGAAGAAGAAGAAGAAGAAGAAAGAAAGAAAAACACACACAAATAACACCTACAAAAGAGAACAACTTACTTCCTCATTTCCAGCAATCACTTTACAGTGTGGGTACAGGTAGCTTGCAATACGACAGTCCACCTCCGTTAACCCCTGTCTCTGGCAAAATTCCTTGGCGACTGAGCAAGCGAATCCCAACCGCGAGTCAGGACCATATAGAACAGTCATCATGCCACTCGGAACCATTTCTGAGGCTAGCTGCATAGCCTCGGCCCGTACCTTCACCAATCGTATGGCTATAAAAGGTAATTTTATTCTTAAAGCTAAATATGAGTAATTTTTATTATATTTTTTCTTGATGTTTAATGTTTTGTAGTCATAATGGGAAGTTAAATAAATTAAGTTCTTGCGGAAAAGGTTTAAAAGAAGTCGAGAATTGAGAAGCAACAGTAAATACTTTTGTTTGAAGTATTAAGAAATATTTAAAATCAAACTAAACACTAATCAACATTTGTAAAAACATCTAGTATAATATTAACATTGCAAATCATTCTAAAAAACAAATTACTACAACTTTCATTAAAAAGTAGTCATTTTTTCTTTTCAATATTGTTAGTCTTAATCAACTACTTTCTGCTGTTTGCTAAATACAACATACCATCCTCGAATGAAAAAGCACCAGCGAAAGTCAGTGCAGTAATTTCTCCAACACTAAAACCCGCAACACCAATGCAAGACTCCAAGGCAGCTGGGTTCTCTTCCCTTAGTCTAAGAAATATACAATGTGATAAGATAGGGAACCATTATAAGTACTATGAATTTATGATTTATGATATTAGCAATTGTCATTCTAATAGTATACATGACATATTAGTTACATAATTAAATGCATAATATATATGCTTAATGACTCCTTAGAAATATATTACTTAATCTCAGATCACAGGGAAATCTACAACTTAAATGAAATGTAAATGACAAGGCCAACAGTTAAATGAATATTTACCTTTCAACTGCAGCTAAAGATGACACAACAATGGCTGGCTGCTGATAAATGGTTTTACTAAGCTTATTTAATGGGCCAGAAAGACAAATCTCAAGGAGGTCATAGCCAAGGATCTGTGAGGCTATTTCATACATCTCATTTACATTAGGATACTTCAGTAGCTCCTTACCCATTCCTGTGGGAAAAAAAGAAAAAAGACATAATAAATCTGGATGGAATACAGTGTATACAGTGGTAAGAAACTGAGTCTTTGTTCCACTGGATACGAAACAGAATTAAAACTGCAGTCTATGACAGACAATTACTTACCTACATATTGTGTACCTTGACCTGGAAATAACAATACTGACGTTCCACGGGGGTCCACTTTTGGCCTTCTGGAATTCTTTGCTTGACTCTGTCTGCAGAAGGGAAAGAGGAGCAATACATAAATAAATTTGCAAGTGAAATATATAGGGTCACATGAAATAATATCCTTGCTTTAAGAATAATAATCCACATTGAAGATCATTATAAAACATTATCAAATACAACAAGAACAGCCCAATGCAAAATGTACAATATTCAAATTCACACCAAAGCCATAAAACAATGTATCCAACACACTCCATCACTTAATAATCACATACTTAAAGTTACTCTTGTGTGGATAGGGTCCCTCAGTCCACAGATCCTCTTGGGTCTGTGGCTCTTGCTCGCTGTAGGTTGTTGCATTGTCTAGCAGTACCTTGGGAGACTCCCTTCCATATGTATCTTCTATGAGGGTTTCTGTACCTGCCCCAGAATCAAACAAATTCAGAATGATTTTTGGTATATATATATATATACACAGAAAGAAAATATGCTGCAAATGTAAATCATAGGATATGAATTTAAATGGCTGAAATCATCTTTACCTCCATCAAACGGTTTCCTTGGAGCACCCCTAGTTAAACAGTAACTGGATGAAGATATAGGTCTCAAGAAAGAGGTTTGCATACACGTCTGATGGTCTGCAATTGTGCATCTTCTAGCCAGACGGAACCAATGACGCCACATCATGACTACTTAAAATTTCCTGAAATCAGTATTTTGAAGTGTAAATTAAGTACATGTTATATTGCCTAATGTATGCTATCAGAATTTCATGTGGATTAATTTGATTGCCTTCTTTTCATAAAACAACAGCTTTTCATGTATGTTAGCATATGGTGCCTTTCTGTAATCTTTGTATCTGAGATGATTAAGCTGCTAGTACTTAAAGCAAAATATCTTAAAAGCAAGAAAAATAAAAGGATGAAAAAATAACATATACAAAGAGCATATGAAATAATAAAATATTTAAATTATTTACCCATCCAAAGATATTATGACTAACTAGTCAAACATAACCATCAAGTTCTTACTTTATCAAACAAGAAAATGAAGAAGTAGAAGTAGAAGTAGAAAAAGTAGATATAGGAATAGAAGAAACAGAAGCAGAGGAAGAAGAAGCATAAGAAGAAGAAAAAAAAGATGGTTTACCACTATATTGTAAAAGAACAGGTTGAGTACAGCTATGTACAGTATGCTAACTATAGTATGCTATAGTATGCTATAGTATTCTAACTGCTTAAGTATAATAAGTTATAAGCAGTATCAATTGAATTATATGAAATCAATAGCATAAACATATAAAGCATTAATATCATTAATACAATATACTGGTCTTGTGATGATGAATGCAGCCTCCACCCCTATCACTGTTCTGCTAAAGCCTAATACACCTAAACCACATAAATTATAGGAAGAGAGAGCCTTTAGATGCTGGCAATACATCTGCAAGTAAAGAACCAGGCCACGCTCTAGATTGCCAGGTGGAGGTTGTCACAATTACTTGACATGAAACTGTTAAATAACAGAATTTTTTTTTTTTGACCTTTTATCATATCACCGCAAAATATTAATTGGATCTGGATATGACAGCCAATATGATTACAAGAAGGAAGTTCTCTGTTGATGTCTTTAATACATTTACTAAAAGAATAAGTATTATGTTAAATAACTTCTATGTTAATAATTTGTGATGCAAATGCTATAGATGAAGCATTTTCCATCAGCCATTCTGTCTACTATGGGCTACTAATCACATATCTTGTAAGAACCTCACAGCTGTGTGAAACAAACACTGTACCAAATAGTTTCCTTAGTATATGAATTAAAATCAATAATTAATCTTTATGGTATGGACGTACTAAGCTAGGGCAAAATGAAGACGATATTCTCACAGATGAGAAAATAATTGTAGTTGTTGATACAATAAAACAATCATCAAACACAAATAAAAGAGTGATCGTGGAAAGAGCCACAAACAAGTACACTTGGTGCCTGTGACTTTCAGCTCTATCTTGCCGCGCATTGAAGGTAAAGACGATGTTAGCCTGGGGGGTACTGGGGTCCATCAACCCTCTTCCCCCTTGGACATACCCAATCACGGAAACTTAAATTATTGATTGACTTTTGTGACGTACAGTTTGGGTCTTAGACTCAGAATGATATAAAGAATTAACAAATCACCATATATTTTAATCCAAAAATCAGATCATTCCCGATAAATCACCGAGTAAAGCATTCACACATCAAAGAAACACATTACTATCGTTTACTAAACTTATTAATCAGCTAATAAACTAATCCACCCAACCAAAAAAACTCATCCTTCACCAAAACACCAATTCTCCCTAACAATTCAAACTTACAAAGCCTAGCAACAGTCAACATAATAAACGCACATACAGTAACGAGTCACCTCCAGCGCCGTAGTCTCACGCCGCCTTGTTGACGTCGCTTACACTACTAAGACGTGACGCGGGAGGATAAAATGGATAGGATACCGACTAATGTCTTTTTGCAGGCGGTCGAGGAGGCTTCTGGGAGTGTGGGGAAATTAGGAATGAAGTTTCCCGCCAATCATGGACTAAAAGTGAATGGTAAACATTAAAAAGTTCGAAAGTGATCCCTCCCAACATACAGATATCAATCTACACATACGAGAATATACGTATATATATATATATATATATATATATATATATATATATATATATATATATATGTATATATATATATATATATATATATATATATATGTGTGTGTGTGTGTGTGTGTGTGTATATATATATATATATATATATATATATATATATATATATATATATGTATATATACATATATATATATGTATGTGTGTGTGTGTGTGAGTGTGTGTGTGTGATTCTGTATAATATGCAGAGAGAGAGAGAGAGAGATAGATAGATAGATAGAGAGATAAATAGAGAGAGAGAGAGAGAGAGATGGAGTGGGGTGTGTGGGCTCAGCAATTTTGTATGGGTATTTATTGTCATAATTCAAGATAGTTTAATTATTTTCTTCATTTATCTTTACACCATATATAATACCTCTTAAAAACGTTTGTAGATCACACAGGGGCGTGGTCAGATTTAAAAAACTGGGCAGGTTAAAGAAAAACTGTGTTGACGAATTATTTTATTGATTTTTACACTGTAGGAAGAACCAAACAAGAATAATTTGATACAAAAAAAAAGAAAAAAATCCTCCGCATTCATACCCAGAAACACATAAAAAAACGTAAACAATAACCTACTGTTGTTCTTCAGCAGGTGTACATGTACACGTGTAATCTGTCAAGGTGCATTTGTAGAAAAAAGTAAAACGAGAATGTATGCATATTCAGACCTCAGCAGCACAGAACTACAATCTTTCATGAAAAAAATCTAATGGACTGTTGCCCATAAATACAAAATGATCGTTAATTTTTGGTACTGAGGGAGGGAGATAGATAGATAGATAGATAGAGAGAGAGAGAGAGAGAGGAAAAATGATGCGATTTCTTCTATAGCACATATATTCTTTTAAAATATCAACACAATGAATGGTTATATCCACATTGCAAAGAGTCAGTCCTTAGAATTTACATGGGAAAACAACAAATATTGCGGGGGGGGGGGGTACATATAAAACATAAAAGGAGGCATTCTATTTGGAACACCCTTTGAAGATTCTTGATATTTTTACACATTCCATAAGAAGTGGAAATATATATATAAAAAAAAACTTGCTGTTTTTACTTTCATTTCACAAACAAACAACCACTACGATTTACTGCTAACCGTTAGAAGAAATGGAAATGTATATTAAATCCAAAAAGACGAAAGAAAGGACCCATAACTATTTTTAAACTCTAATAAAACAATCTGCCGGTGTCATGAAAATGTATTCCTTCCAGTAAGCATCATATTGTTTTCTTTTACCTAACAAACCGCTTCCCTTCAAATACAAAATGTTTTCATACTTGTAAATTTTACTAAATCACCAAAAATGTTACGGACTGCCACCTGTTTGGTTCTGATCGAGATAAACGGTATGACCATCAATAAAATAGTAACGATATGAATTTTTAATTAGAAGACACACCAGAATCCCTATGAGCCAAGTAGAGGGATTGTCAACACCTGGCAAGGTTAGAGAAATTTGCCCGAACGCGTTGTGGACCGATTGCCAGAATGTCATGTCACCATTAAAACCAAGTCGATGAAAGAATAAAGCGATGGGCATGAATATTATGAAACCCGTGATATACATTTCCTTGATAATCCAGGCTCGGTACATAATCTCATACAAAATTTTACCTACACAAAGCACCAACACGAAACGTGCTTCGTGCTTAAAATCTTTGAAGATATGAAACAGCTCCTCAATTTGACGAATGGTCGTAATATTTGTATTTGAAATGTTTCCTGATTTTTCGTTTAATTCAGTAGTTTCATGCAGGTCATGATTATACTCTGGATCTCCATGATGATGATGATGCTCATCTTCATCATCGAAACTTTCGTAGTCATAATAATCATCGTCTACATCGTGAAGTGTATCATTTTCCTCATTTTTTTCCTTAACATTAACTCCTAAAGTGACGGCTTCGTCAGGTCTGCCCACAGTATTATTTAACAACTGATGACCATTTTCTTCACGCTCATCGTACTTCTTCCAAAGATGGAAATTCGTGTCAGTAATTATGTTGGCAGTATCGGCCACTCGTTTCCCGGAGATTAACTGAAACGACACATCCTCTTTGTCAAATGTAGTTGTATGGAATGAAGTGAAATCGTGGTAGATTCTGTTCATCTGAGAAAGGTGGAGGTAGATGAAAAAATTTATGATGGTATTAATGTTGATGAATCTTCTGAGACCTCGTCTGTCTGTCAACACAGTATCAACGAGGCAGCAAAAACAATGGAGGACTAGCGAAGTGTATACAAGCTCAGCCATAACTTTCCCATAAACGAAATCAACAAATTCAGCAGAACGCGACAGCAGCCAAAACGGAGGACGGTCTCCTTTGTTCCACTGGGTTAAGTTGAGGCGGGAGACGATGAGTTCAACTTCAGGATATACTTTGACTTTAGTGAGGAAAATAACCCGGGTATGGTTCTTCACGTGCGAACGCTTTTCCAGGCGATCAACCAAGTCCAGACACTCGCGCAGTGTAAAACGCTTGTGAATCAACGTGAAATTGCCTTCACCGTGCCTTGGTTCCTCACGGCCACCGCCTCTCTTCAGCGGGTGCAGCTGCTGCCAAGTCATTCCGGGGAACTTGCCGTCGAGAGCAGGGTTCTTGCCAAGGAAGAACGTAGTAATTTCGTGCCTGACAATGCTCCAGACGATGGAGTCAGACACGAGGAAGAATTCGTAGGGCAAGTCCCCAGAGGAATTCAGATATGGGCTATGAAGTTGATGGCCGTCTGGATGATGTTGCGCCGTCCACAGCCCCGGGTGAAGCAGCACGTAGACCATCGCCACAAGGACCAACGTCAGGAAATGGCAGCGCTTCAGGTGACCGTACATAAACCTGGGTATGTGTACAAGAATGACAAGGTACACCCAGCCCAGGTACTCCAGGAGGCCACGGAGGTGCCGCATGTTGCTGTTGGAGGGAAAATAGTACTTTTAATACTATGGGTTTCATATGTAAGAAAATGGAGGGATGAAAACAAGGAGATAGAAAAAGAGGCATACACTTACGTACGGACACGTACATATATTACATGAATATATATAGAATATATAGAGAGTCAGTTAGATAAATAGATATATGTAGATATATAAACATAGAGACACATAAAGTGATGGATAGAAAGAGAGGTTGATATATATAAAAAAAAAAAAAAAAAAAAAAAAAAAAAAAAAAAAAAAAAAAAATATATATATATATATATACATATATATATATATATATATGTATATATATATATATATATATATATATATATATATATATATATATATATATAAAGAGAGAGAGAGAGAGAGAGAGATGACAGACAGACAGACAGACAGACAGACAGACAGACAGAGAGAATTCTACTAAGAAACGCATGACTTTAATAATTTTATTGATGACTATCAAAAAAAAAGAAAAAAAAAAAAAAAAGTCGTATATGCATCTATTAGTGTCTATTTGCATGATCTCGACTGTTATTGGTGAACTGATATGGCAGTATGGACTGGCAAAATATGTAGGCCTACAATGTGTAGGTTATGTGAAAACACAAAATGTTTGGGAAAACATTAAATTAACCATAATACTGATGATGATCATAATAAACAACAACAAAAAATACGATAATGACAATAATGGCAATGGTGAAAATGCTGCTGATGACGATGATGATGATAATGATGATGTTAGTAGAATAATAATAATAATACTGATAACAACGACAATAACAGGGCAAAATTTTCAAAAGTAATAAGAACAAAAGTAATGACAATGCTAATGTTGGCAACTGATAATAACAGTAATAACGATAGTCTATAACAATTATGAAAAATGTACCAATAATGAAAAAAAATAATAACAATAACAATAATAATGACAGTAAGTGAAAACTTCTATAAAAATAAATACAAATATTGCCACTACTAATGATGCATTGCTAATGTAAATAATACTACAATAAATACGACAACAACTACTAATGATACTACTACAGCTACTCATCATCGTCCTTTTAATTAAAGAAAAATAAATGAAATAAGAAAAACCGACCTTTTTTTTGGCATAAATCACTGAATTCGAAAAAAGAGTCAAATCAGTATGTTACGTCTGAACGATTTTAATCATAATGTATTATATTGTTTGATATATTTTTAAAAGTATGTGATATGTATGGCTGCTGAATTTGATATGCATTATTCTGTTTACATTTCTTTTGTTGTTTGACTTTTGTTTTGATTTGATATAGGTCTTTGTGTGGAAAATGATTTTCTTCAGAATTGATGCCTAAATCCTTATTTTCGAACATTAGATGCAATTTAGAACTAGTAATACTTTTGAGAATATTTAAATCTACAAATCTAATAACCAAACTACTTTTGCTTATGAAATACATATAAATTTTATCTGGAAAATAACCGAATGGAAAAAAAAAGTTTCAAACCTTAATTTCTTTGGGTTAATAAATTTATGAAGTCTCGCAGTATATATAATAAAGAGTTCAATCTTTATATCCAAATCTCTTTGATTTTATTTTACGACTGAGGGATAATTTAGCAACATCGACCAAAGAAAAGGAATTTTTGAAATACTCGTATAATCGAAGTGTCGGTTCTTTGAAAAATAGAACTGAGGGAAATTGCAAGCTTCACACATTATAATGATAATGATTAAAGAGAAAAAAATAGGTAGAGATGAAATAATTCAACAGCAACAACAACAGAAAAATTATGAACTCGGGATCTCACCGAGTTTGAGAATATTTTTTTTTCAACTGGTCTTTTAGAGACGCTTTATATATGCAATAAAGTCCTAATTCTTTAATTATGAATAACGATTTTGATTTT